TTAACTAAAACTTAATTGGTATACAAATAGCATTATTTCAGCCAACTTAAATTTGACAAGGATGAGTTAGAAAATCCTACTATACTTAATTTATAGTTTATATGCTTAATAAATACCATTATTCCTTTCTAAACCTTCCCAGCCTTGCAAGGATCTAATCTTATTTTGAAGGAAAGGTTACAAGACAGTGTTTAATGACTTTTTGAAAATAATATAAATAAGAACAATATAGTTAAATCCAAAGCAAAATTGACTTTTTTTTTCCAAGAACTTGCTTCTAATTTCTTAAAAACAGAACACATACTTTTTAAATGATGCACTGCCAGAAGAATCAATAATCCCACCCCAGCATGAACAAAAAGCACCTGCCTTTGTTAACCCTCTTCCTGTTCTCCTGCACCGTCTGATGGCTCCTCCATACTGGCACAGAGCTGACCCAGTGTAACCCACAGGGAAAGAGAGGCAAGAGTCAGCACTCAGCTAAAAGCAGCTTCTCACACTGTCAGAGGACATGACCCAGACTTGGAGGACTGCATCAGGAAGAGCATCCACAACCTCCAGCTCCTCCATAAACTTCAATAACTGCTTTCACACTTGTGTCACTTCTCTTTATTAAGGCTCTCATAAATACTCTGATCATTTCTGGAATGTAGGAACTTCAAACACCTAAGAAGGCTAAAATCTGCCTTCCTATCAAAAAATTAATAAACTGAAGGCCTGCTCATTTATTTTTGGTTATTAATGACCCACCTATCCAAATAGCACAACTGCTGAAACACAACAGGCTCCCTTAACTGTATTTCTTTTTCTGATAAAAGATCTTATGTGAAACTAAGTTTGTATTAAAATTAATTTTTTAAAATATTTTAAAAAGGAGGTTGCCTAAGACAAGTTGCTACCTGATTTTGTAAAATATGACCTTTTTTTGTCTAATAAAATTTCTGCTATATTCTATCTGAGGTTTATGTCACTACCTGTTTTCATGTCTGTTTCTATGGCTGTTTCTATGGTTGTGTGTACTCTGCATATAGTAACTGATATGAGTTGAGGAAAACTGGGTAGGTAAAAAGACACCCGTATAGCAATTTTATTTTCCACCTGTATTTTGTCATGATTGTAAGAGAGAATCAACACTTTTGAGAATTCAGGGATCTGCCAAGTGTCCCTTGTTCATCACATTGTCTGCTCCACCAAATAATCAACAGTAGTTACATGTCACCATATTAATACTGGCTAATGAGATCAGGACAAAACCAGCACAGCAAACCTACAGTGCAAAAAAGCCTCTAAGCCACAAAGTTGGTTTCTACAATTGTGAACAAATACAGGCTATACCAGCATGCCTGAGCTTCCAATCTAACAAATGTTTTTCATAGCATGAGTATTTCTAAAACTTGACACCAGAGTTTTGTGTATAGCTGCAGTAATTTAAAATGCAATGGGTTGCTATTCCTAATCAAGATTTATTCCTCTGCACCTCAATTCTTAAAATTAGTAATACTCTATGAAAGCTTAAAAATGTACACTGTCAGGCCACCTCATTGCACACAAAGTTATTATTTATGTTGGGTTTAAACTATAAACTTCCTTCATTAATAGCAAGAAAAAAATTGATTTGCTGTGTCACATGTACTTAACTGAATATAAAAATATATATTTAATATTGCAATGCACTTTCAACTCACTCATGTCATTAGCATTTATGAAACAATTATGAATTCTTATGATGGTGAAAAGAGATTGCTTTAAGGAAAAAAAAACCAAAACAACAAAAACTTACCATTTTGAAAAATTACTTTACACACTACCGAACAGAGCAACAGTTTAATTGGGCAGAACACTGTTGACTACGTTATTATGAGAAAACTAATAGGCCTAATTAATTTGCAGAAAAAAATTAAATTGGAACTACCTAAAACAGAAATAAGTTTTGGATTCCTGGGCCAACATGCAGAAATCTGCAAAGCAAAACAAACAGAAAAATCATTTCTCAAAAGATATACCAGGATCTCATGTAGTAAAGACTGGACAATGGTGCACAGGTGAAATGATTAGTGCAGGCCTCACTTCTTCACCTCAGGATGACAAAACAATGTTATTTCCCCCACTGCAAACACCATTCCAGCTCTCTAAACAACATTCACTTTAGGAACTAGCAAGAATTCCTGATTTTCACTCCCTGGAAACTACTGTTCTTCAACATTTCTGTATACCTAGTAAACACAAGGACAAAGTGTACTACCTTTAAGTTCATTATTTGATGAGAAGCAGAAAGCAGCTCTCCTGCAGAGAGCCTCAACTCTGCGCCTTTTCCACAAGCCAGATGACCTACTTTGGGGGAGCAGAGTGTCCAGCCACCAGCACCTCACCCTGGGCTGACTGAACTAACCCCAACACAGCAGTGCCTGCTTTCAGTTTTCAAACTCCCTCAAACACCTCTAATAAATCCACATCAGCAATCCCCCTTCCTCCAAACACAGTGGGAGTGGGGTTTGGGAATACCCACAGCTTAGAAACCATCAGTCCCTCAACACAAACAGAAAATATTTTTTTTTAGAACCTATGCTTTACATTCAAAGATGCCTTGGTTTTGATTTCAAACCTTCTGCAAGTAAATTGATACAGCACCTGTCTCCATGAGTCTGGAAGCAGCTTTTATGCTCAAGGAGCATGAAAATGGCAGATACTCTGGGTAGTTTTGCTGCTGCTCAAGACCAGGACCAGCAAACAGAGCTATCTGGGTATCACTTTTCGAGTCGTTACTGCTATAGTTTCTACCGAGGAAAGCCATGAGCACTGCAAAGGATTAACATACCAACAGCAACACAAGGCACAAAAAAAAAAAAAACAAGCAAAGGCTGGAAAAGAAGCAGACACTGCTGACCTTGTCCCTCTTCTTTAGCTAACAGAAGATGTGAGGTGACACGGAAGAGAGCAAACACCTTTCCTTAAACTTTCAGACAGCTAGCCAGGAAAATAGAGAAGAAAAGAGAGGAAGGGGAGGAAAGTTCCATTTCTGTAATGCAACAAGGCAAAGGCTGAAGTTCTGAATTTATCATATGTTCAGTAGCCAAGATGTAGTAAAAAGGATGATTCAGACTATCACGGGCTAACTCTGTTCGTTTTGGAAAAATATTGCAAAAGAGATTTTGTGTATAATTTTTTTTTCACAAAAGTAATCGGAAATGTAATCTGGTAGAAGCAGGAGGCAAATGCAACAGCTAATGTTGCAACGACAGAACAACAGAAACAAGAGCTAACATTACAATGAATCTGTATCTGTTTCATGGCCTATATAAAAATATTTGCTAATTACAGCCTTGATCTTCATGGTACAGGTGCCTTCTATTGCTACATTTATTCACTGTTCCCAAAAGTGACATCTTCTGTCAAAGTCACAAGAAGAAAGTCAGTTACAAAGACAAAGCGATCTGCTTAACTTCTTAAATACACTTGGGTGAGACAGAGGCTTTCCATTTCCAGAGTTGTGAAATCAGTATTTCAGAGAAGCGACAACATTACATCAGAAATTATAATCCTAAAAATGAAAACACAATACCATTGACATCATCTATGTGGTGCTGACTCCTTCAGATTCCTAAAAAGCAATGGCAAAACAAGTACTTTCAAACAGAAATTCTTCATAATCTCCTACCCAGTGAGTCCTTTCAAATTCCTCCATATTAAGTTATCAGTCCAAACTCCCAATGATACAAACCACGCGTGGTTAGGCCATGAAAATTTGTTTTTACAAAGGCCACTACCACATTTCATGAAAGAGAAGTCTAATTCTCCCACGTTAAGCTGCTAGAACAGCAGCAGTATGTTCCTCAGAAACAAAAAACCTTCATGGGAGGAAACACTTTTCAAGCTGAAGAATGCTTTAAATTCTTGCCGACTTTCAGTCACCATACAACTTTTAAAACAACAAAAGATTTCTCTTTGTTTTACAAAAACATGATAGTTCCGAGTGAAATACGGCATAGAATTCACGGAATAACCCTGATGCACACAGAGAACCACATTCACTGTTTAAAAACAGTGGAAGACATTAACACAGAAACTAGAGCCGAGAGCCTTCATGATCAGCCAGCTGCAGGTCAGACCTGAACTACAAACCTGAATCCTGATCTGGCAACCTGATCTTAGATAGGCCAAAGTGCCTACCCTGCCAGCAAGGGGTAGCTGTTAGCCTGGGCACATTTTTAATTAAAAAGAGAGCGAGAAGACTTGTAAACTTCAGTAATTTTCTTCCCAAAACACGCAGGGATGCGTTTCACCGAACACTCATTACGTGAGATGTAATTTTACCTTTATGTCCTTTACCTACACGGGCATCGACCGAGGCCACAGCGCACCGCGCTCCTTGAGAAAATCCCCGGCCTCAGCCCTACTGAGGTGGAAAGTAGGTGACGGAAAGAAAAACGAATTGAGCGAACCGAGGGCGATGTTCGTTCACACCGCAGCTCGGTGTGCCCGCCCGCCGATCCCCGTGCGGGGCGGCGGCGCTCCCGCTCCCGCCCGGGAAACTTTCGGGTTGCGCCGCTCTCCGGCCGGGAGGCGCTGCCCGCCTTCCCCCGGCGCTGCCCCGCGGCCGCCGGATACGCCGCCTCCATTCACCGGAGCCCCGCGAGGGGTGCGGGGGGGTGGCGTCCCGGCCCGGCGCTGCTCCCCGGCCGGGCGGCACAAAGCAGCGGCTGTCACACGCACACGAGCAGCAACTCGGGAGGATGAGGAGGAGCCGCCCCCGAGCCCCCCCCGCAACTGGACGTGGCACAACGAACACTCCTCCCGCTCCGGGCCCCCCGTGCCGCCCCCGGCAGGTACCGGCCCCCTCCCGCGCGGGGCGGCCGCGGAGCCTCGGCCGCACAGGTGACACCCGCCTTTCCCCCGTTCCCGACGCCCCTTCCCCGCGTCGTCCCCCGCGGCCGCCACAAGTTTGCGGCGGGCCCCAGCCCCTGCTCCGGCCCAATCCCCGTCCCGCCCGCGGCCGCGCTCACCTCCGGCCGGCCGGCGGGGAGCGGAGCGGGGCGGGTGGCGGCGGCGGGGAGGCTCCCAGCCCAGGCGGGCTCCGCTTCTTTGTCTCCTCGGCGGCGGCGCCCGCTCGCTCCCCCTCCGCTTCCCTCTGCCCTTCCCTGGGCGGATGCGGGCCGCGTCCTCGGAGAGGGGCCGGCTGGCTCCCCCCGCTTCCCCTTCCTTCTCCTCCTCCGCTCTTCGCCGGACGCGTCCAAGGCCCCGGCCCTCGGTGGCAGCAACGGCAGCTCCGCTCCCTGCCTTCCCTCTGCCTGCTGCGCCCGGCGGCGGCGGCGGCGGCCCCTCCTCCGCGAACCGCCCCCCCCGGCACAGGCACAGCCCCCGCCCCCGCCCTGCCCTTCCTGCCGCTGCCGCTGCCGGGATCGCGCGGGAGGAGCTCTCCGGGCTCCCCCTTGCCCGCCGGGAGGGCCGCTGCTCCCCCGCCCCAGCGCAGGAAGGACGGGCAGGGACAGCCTGGGTGGCTCCCTCCCCTCTGCGGGAGGACCGCTCCGGGATCGCGGGGCGGGGCAAAGGGGGCCCTGCCCGGCAGGAGCGCACTGACACCTCCTTCCCGTTCCATCCCCGTGAGACCCGGTGCTCCCGGAGAAGCTGCCCCGCTGGGAGCCAAAGCGCCCGGGAAAAGTACTGGCGAATGCTAGAAGACGCGGGGATGGGGGGGACGCGCGCTGTTCGGGGCAGGGCCGGGGGAAGTACCCCGGAGCAGGGAGGGGTGCGTCGGGATTCGCCCTGGAGCTGCCAAGGGCTGGGACTGCGGGGCCGCTGCCGCCGGGGAATTTCCAGCCGCGGTATCGGGGCGCTTCCGCCGCCGCCCATTAGCCGCGGGGCGGCCGCAGCCGTAGCTCTTCCCGGCCCTTCTTTTCCTGCCCGCCCGGGGCGAAGTTTCAGCCTCAGCGCCCCGTGTATCGGCCCGGTCGGGCGGTGACTGGTAGGTGTTGTGCCCTCGGCAGAGGATGGTGGGCATGGCAGCCACCCCAAGCCACAGAATCAGAGAATATCCTGTTCTGGAAGAGACCCAGAAGGTTCATCGAGCCCAACTCTTTGCCAAGCACAGGACGCTCCAAGAATTCCACCATGTGCTGAGAGCGTCGTCCAACTGCTTCTTGAACCCTGTCAGGCTTGGTGCTGTGACCACTTCCTTGGGGCGCCTGTTCCAGTGCCCAACCACCCTATGAAGAGCCTTTTTCTAATGTCCAACCTAAACCTCCCCTGACACACTTCAGGCCGGTCCCTGGGGTAAGCCAGCTGTGAAACAGAGCCCCGTGGCTGGGTGTATGTCCAGCCCATGCCAGCCGCTGTGCCCCTGCACTCACGGGAAAGAGCTCCACGAGTGGTTAAAGGCAGAGGACAGAAGCCCCCCATGGTGGCCCTGGTCTCTCGTGGGAATAGTCAACTTGTCAGCCCCAGTGCTTTCCCCCGGCACACTTCCCCCAGTAGTGTCCCTGAGCTATGGGGAAAGATCATCCCTCAGGGTGGGCAGGGAGCAAGGGGGAAGCCACTCAAAAATATTGTAAACCCTTTACAACATGGCAGCTTCGACGGAGAGGAGGCTGGAGTGTTAGGTACGGCTTGGGAGGCAAGGCTAGGCAACACTACTCTTTCTGAATCCAAATTAAAGTCAGCAGCCCTGCTGTCTTGTTTTCTGTGACCAAGCTTAATATAGTAGTGAGATCTTGGGACAAAGATTTTAGAAGCTTGAAATATGATGATTTAAAAATGTGTGCTCTGCAATCTTTCCATGCTCCTGCTTAAAATGGTTTAGAAATCCTCAAATAACTCCCTCTTCCCCTTGTTAACTTTTACAAATTCTCACAGCACTGAATTGATGGTTTGGGAAGTTCCAAGTGCCTTTCACATGCCTGTGAGATAAACCTGAAAGGAAAATGTGGCCACTTCTTTCTTCCAATAAAGACTTTGCATGTACCTCAGGGAGGAACAGAAATCCCCTTTCCTAGGTTTTTGTGCATGCATTTGATTTCAGTTCAGAGAGGTGTTAATCTTCCTTTTGAAACAATAATCTGACCATGCTTTTTTAGAGCTGGAAATATTTGGGGTCCCTGCTGGCTCCACCTCACAGCATGGTCAGGCCTCACTCCAGCCTGCAGAGACTTAGGCTGAATTTAAATGGGATCGGTCATCCAAGGACTTTCAGATAAAATCTCTGTTGTTTCTAGAACAAAATGCACTGTGGAATTGATAAAAGAGAGGTGAATTATCCCTTCTCTCCTTTGCATTTATAGTACACAGTTAGGTTTTGGTCTCGGTTTTGTCCCTTCTTACCACACCCTTGCTAATGCCATCCTACAATAAATGCTCCACTTTGTTCTTTTCCCTATAGCACTGTTGAGTTGAGGATGTCCAAGGCAAGGTGCCATGAACCTTTCAAAGTTTCCAGGCTAAGTTAGACCTCCAGAAGGAACCATAAGCTGCTGAATGAGCAGTAGCTCTCAAAGCTTTCTAGGTATCTGAAAAAAAATTATAAAACACACCTAACTTTAGCAGATTAATGCTAATAGGATTTACAGAATAAGAATGTTTTAGGGAGGGATTTAGATGAATACATTGTCTTGAGGCAAAGGACTAATTTAAGCACTCTGAAGCATACTGTTGTTAAATATACTTAATTACATTAAGAAGTGATCTATTAAAGCTGGGGTTTTTTTTCAAAATGTGGCTTATGATGAACAGAAGACACTGTAGAAAGTGTTTGCAAGGGTTTGTTGAAGGATGTTTTAACTGCCTATTTGCTGAATGAATCCTTAGGTTTCTCCGCAAAAACAACCAAGATGTTGCCCTGTGTAGTATTTCAAAACATTGAGCCTACTGAAATATTAATGTATGCCTTTTAAAATGTCATAATTAGCTGTTATCTCTGAAATAACTGTTATTAAGAAGAGCTGGCTGCTTGTGATTTGAGTGAGAATTACATTCTAAATATGAGAAGATGATAAATTTGGGGGAATATGCACAGAAGTGAAAGCAGTACATGATGTGGCAGGCACACTTTTGTATAAAGAAAGTAAATATGTAAAGCATGCACTTTTGCATATGCATAAGAGTGGTGCTGTCCTTAGAAAATATATACACCGGAGAAAAGAGAATAAATATTTTTCCCAGCCTAAGGGCATAACTATGTACTAAAAAAAAAAAAAAGGAAAAAAATGGGTAAGTAATAGAAATATGTATCTAGGTCTTTGTCAAAGAAACATCATGCCTCATATTGCTGCTGCAGGCAGGGCTACATGCAAACCCCAGACCCAGAGGTTGTGTGATAGACCTGTTTTGCAGTTGCATAATGGTACCCAATTCATCTTGATGTTCATGTTTTGCACAAGAGGCTAAAAAAAAAAAACAATAGCGTGTCTTTTGGCTTATAGTTCTTAATTTTTTTTTCTACCTTTCTTTTTTCATGGCTACCCATTTTCTGTCTCCTGTGTGCTGCTGCTTGTGCTTTCCCACTGGCCTGGCAGAGCAGTGGCTTTCACAGGATGGGCATGTGAATGAATGGATCCCAGCCATGAAGATCCAAACCACACTAATATATTTACACACATAGTGGCAGGAGACAACAACCACCTCCCAGATGTGGCTCCTTCTGCACAAATACCTGATCTTTTCTCCAGATGCATCAGGTTTTCTCACCAGCTGCTCTATCTAGAGTATGAACTAATACCTACTCCCATAGGGAGACATTTTAGCAGGGATGTGAGACAGAGGGACTGGTAAGTTGAAAATCTGGAAAGCAGCATTGTCCAGTTCAGAGGTGGACAGCAAAGGTGTTTGGTCATTCTGTGTTAGTCCATTGGGGTGAAAATACACCTAATCTAAGTTAATATAGGTTGGACTCCATGATCTTTCCAAGTCTTTCCAAAACATAATTTATTCTATGATTCTGTGATTAACCTCTTTCATAAGCCCCTACTCCTGATTTTCAAAACTGCCTTTTAAAGATATCAGTAGTCTAATGAACTCCATTTATACACATGGGGTTGTTACTACTGTGTCAGGAACAAATGGAAAGGTAAAAATCCTTGGGCACTTTGGGGAAGAAAAAAGGGGATTTTTAATTCTCCCTAACCTGGCAAAAAAATGCTAATTTTAATAATACAAACAACAATAACAGAAGATAACAGAAAACTTCTGTCAGTATATTTTCTCTCAAAAAAAAATCTTGTAGGGTTTACATCACTACATATTTAGTTTCTGCTTAAAATATGTGTTCAATCCCCATGTAGATGAAGGGGAATTACATGACCACTACCAGGGGAGAGTAGGTCCCAAATACTCACTTAGTTACTGCTGAGTCACTTAAGTATATTTGCACTATGATTCTAATTCAGCCTGACGGTAAGGCAGCTGCTTTTCTCACTTTCTCATGGCTGCTGCATCTTCAATGACATTTATGAAAAACGTTGAGGGGAAGAACGTGTCCTTAGAGCTCACAACACATCCAAATTCTTCTATTCAATGGACCAAAGCTCCCCAAAGGTGCTGTAAAACTGCAAGCTAAATCTATCAGCAGATCACATTTAACTATGACAAATTCTATCGTTATCTTTTGTAGACAGTTGCTGAGATTCAAAGTATTTATGTAAGGAAAACAAACCGGTGTTTTGGGCTTTGGAAATGTCAGGGCCCTTGATTCTCCTGTTTATTTAAAAGTGGATGTGTGCTGAGGGACATCTTTTGAACTCTATTCAAAGGTTAAAACTGATCTTTCATACAGTTTTGAAATTCAAAATACTGCTGTTAAATATTTTGACTCTGCTGTGTCATCTCCGTTTTGCACTTAAATACCAAATTCTGTCTAGAGTTGGCTGTTCTGCTCAGTGCAGAGACAAAGGCATTGCATCTTCCAGCCATGAGGTGCAGCCATTTCAAGGGAGGAGCACAACCACACAACCCCCTGACATGTGCCACAGCTGTGCAACAGTTCAGAGCCAGTGGTGCAGATATAGCATTCCACTGCTGTGGTAGGTTGTGTCAGCAAAATGGGATTGCCCACATTGGACTTTGCTCAGGGCTGCAAGCTGATACTCCCCTCTCATGAATGAAAAATGTGTAGGGAGAGGCAACAGAAAAGAAACAGAGGAAGTTATCTTACCTTGAGATCCAGTAGGCCGCATTACCAATTTATGCATAGTATAAAGCCAGGGACCAGTGCTTTCTTTGCTTGGGAGGAACATTTTCCAAGTCTATGTAGTTGTTTACTGATGC